AAGTAACTGAGACAAGGTCAGGATGGAAACTGACCGACTTCTGCGAACCTTGATCGCCAGCTGGCGGAGACTGACCAGATGGTCCGGAGAAAGCCGGACTATCCCTGTCACTGAATCTATCACTGTCCCTAGGTATAATATTCGTGTGGATGGAGAGAGGTGGCTTTTGGGGAAGTTGACGGAGAACCCCAGGGACTGGAGACACTGGATGGTAAGGTGAAGGTCGCCGAGTGCCTGAGAATGTGACCCTGCCTGAACTAACACGTCATCGAGATAACATTGGAATCTCAACGGGGTGGAGCGGAGGTGAACCACCAATGTCGCGAGGACTTTGTGAAGGTACGAGCTGAGGCCAGGTCGAAGGGAAGGGCACGGTATTGATAGTGGAAGTCCCCGGGTGAGAACCTCAGATACCTGCAGTGGGCTGGCAAAATTGGAATGTGAAGGTAGGCCTCTGTTAGATCTACCAAGGCCAAGTAATCCCCCTGACGTATCCCCTGGAGGATGGATCTGAGGGACGACATTTTGAAGCACCTGTAAACTAGATATTGGTTCAGGTGCTTGAGATCCAGAATTGCCCTCCAGCCCCCCGAGCTCTTCGGAACTATGAACAGGTTGGAGTAATGGCCCAACCCGCATTCTGCCGGTGGAACTGCTTCCACTGCCTGAATGTCGAGAAGATGCTTTATAGCCAGATTCATTAGGCAGCAGCGTTCCGGGCCCTGGGAGGGAGGGAACGTTCTGAAGAGCTGCGGGGTGGTGGTGGAGATGAACTCCAGCCGCAGGCCAAGCCTGACGGTGGATCTGAACCAGGCGTCCGTGGTGATCCTGTCCCACTGGCCTGCAAAGTGAGCCAGGCGGTCACCTATGGGAAGATCCAGGTTGGAGTCATTTCCCCCTGCGGAAGGGACGGCTGCCTCCCCCACCGCGAAAGGGCTGCCTGGAGTGACCTTGGTACCTGCTACAGTCATGGTAAGACGGGCGTTGGAACTGTCTGTCTGATCTAAAGGAGTTGTATCTTTGTTGGTGATCGTGCTCAGGTGCTCTATAAGAGGGTCTCCAATAGGGGGCAGGACGAGAGTCTGCCTTTTTGGCATTAGACGGAAGGATCTTCTTCTTATCCTTATTTTCTATTAAGATAGGATCTAGAGCTTCCCCAAAAAGATTAGCTCCTGTGTAAGGAGCCGCTGCCAAATTCCATTTGGCCTTGTTGTCCATCTGCCAACTGTGCAACCACAACAAGTGTCAGTAGGTTACTGACGTGGCTAGAGCGCTGGAGGCAAACAGAGCTGCTGTTGGTGTATCGATTGCTGGCAATTGCAGGGCCTGGGCAAAAGCAAGTCCACATTGTAGATGCGGCGATCGTTACTGCCCGGATTGGAAAAGGTGGAAGGACAGGCCCACTGGTTCTTTACTGCCTCAAGGAACAGGGGGGAGCAGGAATCTCCTCCATGTTTGTGGCGGTGTTAGAAAACATAGCTAGATTGGGGTCCCTGGGCTGAGGGACCGTCAGATCCCCAGTCCTGATCTTAGTAGTTTTCCTGGCTTTGTGTAACAGAGTTTTAAACATGGCTGGTGGAAAGAGACCTGAAAAGGCGGGGGGGGGGNCTCCAGTCCCCTAATCATCTTTGTTGCTCTTCTCTCCACTCTTTCTAGAGTCTCCACATCTTTTCTACATCGTGGCGACCAAAACTAAATGCAGTATTCCAAGTGTGGCCTTACCAAGGCATTATAAAGTGGTATTAACACTTCACGTGATCTGGATTCTATCCCTCTGTTTATGTAACCTAGAACTGTGTTGGCTTTTTTGGCAGCTGCTGCACACTGCTGGCTCATATTTTTTGGCAGCTGCTGCACACTGCTGGCTCATATTTAAATGGTTGTCCACTAGGATTCCAAGATCCCTCTCACAGTTACTACTATTGAGCAAGTTACCACCTATACTGTACCTGTGCAAATGTCATAGTACTATAGTACTATTATTAACAGACTATAGAACAATATGTACAGTCATTCATGCCCTAGTCAACTCTTGGCTCAACTACTGCAATATGTTTACATTATCTGCCCTTGAAGAATATTTGAAGCTTCAACTGGTCCAAATGTAGCAACATGGTCCAGTGATAGTCATGTGTCTCTGTGTTATGTACACTCACCACCTCAAGATCCTCATGGATGTCCAGGTGAAGTTCAATGGCAGATTAGATATCTCGGAAGAAGTGAAGATAGAGCTAAAAGTAGTGAATGAAAGCCAGTAATGATTTCTAGCCAACAAAGCTTTTCTGGATAAAGGAGAGACCAAATGAACTGAGGTGGCACAGTGGTTAGAGTGCAGTACTGCAGGCTACTTCAGCTGACTCCAAACTGTAGTTCAGCAGTTCAAATCTCAGCGGCTCAAGATTGACTCAGCCTTCCATCCTTCTGAGGTGGATAAAATGAGGACCCAGATTGTTGGGGGCAATATGTTAATTTTATAAACCACTTAGAGGGCTGTAAAAACACTAGGAAGCGGTATATACCATATTTTTCAGAGTATAAGTCACACCTTTTTCCCTCAAAAAAGAGGCTGAAAATCTGGGTGCGTTTTATACATTGAATATAGCATTTTTTTTGCCTCTGGAAACCCTGCCCCCTTCACCAAAATGGCTGTGCATTGCCTTTAGGAGGCTTCCAGAGTACTCCTGGGAGGTGGGGAGGGCAGAAATGAGGGGAAAACAGGCCAATTTTTACTCATTTTTGGACCCCACCCCACCCCCCAAGAGCACTCTACAAGCATCCTAAAGGCTATTCATGCCCCTTTTTTGGAAAACAAAATGGGCCCATTTTTGGAAAAAAACAGGCTGTTTTTGGGAGTGCAAAAACTTGTTTTTAAAAAATTGCCTCTTCAAAATCTTGGTGCATCTTATACTCTGAAAAATACGGTAAGTCTAAGTGCTATTGCTAAATGATTGCCCACCTGTGCTCTGGACCTGTCCACCTTGTGCCGAGACTGTGAGATGGAAGCCCTGTGGTTTTCTCATGAGTAGATGGAATGGAATTGAGGAAGAAACAGCGCGTTCACATATGCAAATGCAGCCTTTTAAAGGACATTGATCAAATGCTCACTTCCTTGTTTACTTTCAGGTAGTCATTTAGTTGAAAAAATGTCTTTGAAAGCAACAAGACAAAAAGACAAAAAATGGTGAAGAAGAAAAATTTGCCTTTCATTTTAATCTTTGTAATTGATTTACTTTTACTTTTAAATTATAAGCAAAATAATGGCAATCACTAGAAAAGCTGCAAGGGTGAGGGAGGGAGAGGGTTGTTCGAGCAACAAACAACAAAGAGGATATATATATCCAGTTGGTCCAGTTGGTCTAGTGGTTAAGGAACAAAACTAGAAAGCAGGAGACTATGAGTTCAACTACTGCTTTAGCCATGAAAGCTGACTGACTGATTTTGCCATCACCGTCTCTCAGCCCAACTACCCTCACAAGGGTGATTGTTGTGAGGAAAATTGGAGGAATGTGTGTTGGATATGTTCACTGCCTTGAGTTACTAGTACAAACACAGGTAGGACGTACATTAATAAAATATTAAAATAAAGGTTACAGGAGAAGTTAAATTAATGACAAAGCGGAAATTTTAGAAAGTGAAATAGAATAAGAAAGATGGGGAAAAGTTTAGACAATGTGACATTACTGAGATTGAAAAAGAAATGCTTGAGATTTACAGCAATTTCAGAAGATCCTCGAGAAGACACCAGAGAAAGAACCAAGGTCTTACCTGAACGTGTTTTTTCAGTAGAATAGAGGGAGGGGTTACGCATGGGTATTGTCACAGCCTGATTGGCCCATAGACTGAGGGAAATTTCGTTAATATTCCTCCTTTCCCATTGGCTCCCAGTTTCCTCAATGTCGACGGACCGCACCTGTAAAGATACAAGAAAGACCAGGGACCTCCCGGCCCTCCCCCTGGCCTCTCTCTATACTAGCTAGGGTGGGTAACCCCTCTCTCTATTCTACTGAAAAGACACGTTGAGGTAAGACCAACATTCTTTTTCCACTAGAATCGAGGGAGGGGTTACACGTGGGACATACCCAAGTTTAGTCCCAGGGCGCGATCTAAGACCCAGGAGGAGGGGTGGCTGCCACCAATTGAAGAACCCTGCGACCG